CGGACCAGATTAGACCATTTGATAAAACTAATAACAGAGACAAAGGACAATTTAGTAATTTCAAATCTCCATGAACAGAAGGGGTAAGGTTGATATTGTCTCATGGACGGGAAGGGAGAATTAAGCAGAGGTCATAATAGACTAGGAAAGTTTTATATAATTATTAAAACCTAGGAGGGTTTAAGGAATTTATCCTTATGTTTATGTGACATTTGGCACATTTTTACGGGACATCCAATTAATAGCTAATGAGCAGATCCAAAGTGTAAGTGTGTTACTTTCACCGTGTCTTTCAACAAAGTTTAAGGCCTCATTTGTTTTTCGATAAATTATTTAATTGGGTAAATACACTTACCTAGGTAAGTGTTTCTTAGGAAAGATTTATCTAGGTAAGTGCATTTATCTATGTTCTTTTATTTCTCATGTAAATAAGGTAATGACCATTTTAGTCATAAAAATCTAATATTAAAAAGGGCATTTTTGTCCCATTCAAGTGTTGACAACTTTCCTCCTAGGTGGAAAAGTTATTTACCAACCGAGGAGATGGGTATCACTTGCCCGAGTAAGCGATACTCAGGAAAATAAACTTTCCCCAATCCCTACATAAATCTAAAAAGAGAACATAGGATTCTTGGTCAATTAGATCAAAATCCCATTGACCAACTCTCCCCCCTCTCAAAATCTAGAAAAAGAATGCCCCCTAAAAGTCTATCTTACATCCAAATCCAATAGAATTCGAATCCAGACCAGATCTCTGATCAAATTTTGGATCGAATTTCGATTTTAGTTTTCATTAGTCGGATTCGGATACTCTATCTGACTCGATTACAGCCCTATTAACGGATGAAAAAGTTAGATTAGCATCTTCAATTTAGGAATGCCAATAGGGCRGGTTTGGGGTGCGAATCATATTTTCCATCCCCGTCCCCAACTTTGATCCTCGTTGGGGATAAAAATTGTCCTCCATCCCTAATTCTTAATAGGGACGAATTCCTTGTGGAGACTTGAATCCTCAAATATTTTTAGTTAACAGTCTTTTTTGAAAAATAAATACAAATTTTAAAATATAAATAATATTTTAAATTTATTTTGATGGGAAAATCTATTATGTGGGAAAGATATGATATAAGTAGGGGTGTAAATTGGGCTGGATCTGGTCTAGTCCGATCCAATCCAATGTGAGTCTATTATAAATGGACCAGGTCCAATCCAATCCAATGAATATTTTAKACCATTTTGGATCGGTCTAATTCAATGTCTGGACCATCCAATCTATTCAAATTTGTTTTGATTTAGATTGGTTTCAACCCAAACCTGATCCATTGATGCCTATATTCTTGTCTTATATCAATGGACCAGATTTGGCTTAACCCAATCCAATATAAATTTATTACGAACGGACCAGGTCCAATCCAATTAAATAAATATTTTAGACTTGATTGGTCCAATCCAATATGTCTTGTTGGTCCATCCAATCCATCCAAATTGATTTTGGACTGGATGGGGGCAATCCAAAACCGGTCCATTGAGACCCTTAGATATAAGAAGAGTTTTGACCAATCAAAACCCACCCATGAATTTTGATAAATAACACCTGATTGGTTACCATGCTTATGATACCAGATGATTGGTCAAAAAATTTTCAAATATCATATCTTTTCCATTGAGTGTTGCAAGGCTCATCTGGTGGCCAAAAGATTCACCCAAGAAGTTTGTCTTGATTCTTATGAGACATTTAGTCATGTTATCAAACCTTCCACTATTTGTTTGGTGCTCTCTAGTACTGTCACTTACAATTGGGATACTCACCAACTTGATGTAAGGAATGCTTTTTTGTATGGATTTGCTTGAGTAAAAAAAAATCGGGTTGACCTCAACTTTGAATGGGCTTGGGTTGAGGTCTTTGGTTGCTTGAGCCCAACCTAGGCCTGACCCAATCAAAGCTTGCTTGAACAAATAAGAGAAAATAAAAGATGGGTATATAAAATTATATACATAATTTTTTTTAAACCCAATCAGACCACCCAAGCCAAATTAACCCAGCTTAGTCTGAGCCCAATTCGAGTTGTGTTGGGTTATCGGGTTGGGCATTAGTTGATAAATTTATGTTTAACCTTAGGTTGGCTTAGGCTTGAACCTAAGGGTTGCGCCTTTACGATTGGGCTTGGGTTGACCTACGACCTGATCCAATCCACCAAGTTTCACCCCTAGTGCTTTATTTGGCTAGTAAATGAGTTAATCAATTTATTGAATGTGGGAATGAGAAGGGAAAGAGAATTAAAGAGAATGCAGGAAGGGGAATTTGGAGAAAGGAGAGGCCATGTGACATGGACAACATTGTTATAGTTGATAGAGAATTGTTTTATCTTTTTTCTTCTTTTAATTTCTTTGTGAGTTGTAGTTGTCAACTGATTGATTTTAATTGCTCTCAAGAAAGAAAAACACACTATAAACAATAAAACAAAGAAAAAGAGTTGGATTAATTAATGGTGGGGAGGACTGAGAAGTAGTAGCTGAAAGGACAACACACGT